AGTCTATTTCCTTTGCCAGATTGGGGAAATTCTCCTTTATTATTTGTTCAGATAAGTTTTCCACTTGTGTCTGTTTCTCTTTCCCTTCTGGTACCCCTATAATTTGGATGTTGGAATGTGAAGATGTCCTGGAGGCTTCTAAGCCTCTCCTCATTTTTTTGAATTCTTGTTTCTTCATTCTATTCTGGTTGAATGTTTCTTCCTTCTGGTCCACTCCATTGATTTGAGTTTCAGTTTCCTTCCCATCACACTGGTTCCCTGTGTATTTCCCTTCATTTCACTTAGTTTAGCCTTCATGTGTTCCTCTGATTTGTGACTAAAATCAACCAGTTCTGTGAGCATCCTGATCACCAGTGTTTTGAACTGTGCATCTCATAGGTTGGCTATCTCTTTGTCCCTTAGAAGTATTGGCTGTGGGGCTTTGAGCTGTTTTTCTGCTTGAGCCATAATGTTTTGGTCTGTTCGCACTTGTTATGTATGAGGGGCAGAGCCTTAGGTGTTCACCAGGGGCAGCCCAAGTTGCTGGGTTGTGATGCTGTATGTGTGGGTGGGATTTGAGAGGGAAAGAAATGGCTCTTTGCTCTGCTCTCTGTTGTACTTCAGTCTCTTCTGCTGCTTCCCCCAAGTGAACTGGGCCTTTCTGGTGTTGATTCTCAGGTGCATGTTCTAGGACCCTGTGGGTCTCTCCAACGAACTTTCCTATGAGGGTAGGAGTCTCTCCCTGTGCCTCAACCCCCACAAGTGTTTTCAATACGTGTTTTGAGGCTTTATTTCCTGGAGCTAGGACCCTGGGTTGCGCGATCTGTCTCGCGCCCCAGTTATCTGCGAGTGAATGTGGGACTGCTGCCCGGTTAGCCAGCCACCTTGTGCATAGTGCCTGGCTTCTCATTTGCTGCCTCGCTGGGTCTGCCTGTTGCCATCCCACGCCGGGGGTCTGCCAGCCGCCGACTGGGTGCCTGGGGTCTGCCCGGTGCCGCCTTGCGCACCCAGGGTCACTGCTTCCTGTGCGGCAACCCCTCTCTGCTTGGCTGCTGGACTCCACCCCGCTGGTCTGGATGAATGTGTCTATTTTAACTCCTTGGTTGTTGGACTTCCATATAGTTCAGTTTTCTTTCAGTTTTGGTTGTTACTTTGTTTCTGAATTGTTGTTGTCCTTATTTTGGTTGTTCGAGGAGGCACAGTGTGTCTACCTATGCCTGCTTCTTGGCCGGAAGTCTTAATTAACTTTTTGACTGATTGGTACTTTTACCTGAATTTTATCTTTTTAAATTTCTACTATTATATTTTTAATTTCCAAGAGTTCTTTTTTAAATGTGTTCATTTTTTTAACATTGCATTCTTATATATAAGTATCTTCTCTTATTTCTGTGAGGCTGTTAATGATGGTATTGTTTTTTTTTAATTTATTTTTTATGGATTATGCCATTACAGTTGTTCTATTCCCCCCTTCATTCCCCTCCATCCTACCCCCCATCCCCACCATTACCCCCCCTTTAGTTTATGACCATGTGTCTCAAGTTCTTTAGATTCTATATTTCCCATACTATTCTTGCCCCCCATCAATTTTCTATCTACTGTCTATGCTACTTATTCTCTGTACCTTCTCCCCCCTTCTCCTCCTCCCACTCCCCTGTTGCTAACCTTCCTTGAGATCTTCATTTCTATGTTTCTGCTCCTGATCTAGCTGTCCTTTGAATTTGCTTTCGTTTTAGGTGTGGTTGTTAATAACTGTGAGTTTGCTGCCCTTTCACTGTTCATGTTTTTTAACTTCTTTTTCTTAGATAAGTCCCTTTAACATTTCATATAATAAGGGCTTGGTGATGATGAACTCCTTGAATTTGATCTTATCTGAGAAGCACTTTATCTGTCCTTCCATTCTAAGTGAAAGTTTTGCTGGATAAAGCAATCTTGGTTGTAGGTCTTTGGATTTCATGACTTGGAATACCTCTTTCCAGCCCCTTCTTGCCTGTAAGGTCTCTTTTGAGAAATCCACTGTCAGTCTGATAGGAACTCCTTTGTAGGTGACTGTCCCCTTAGCTCTTACTGCTTCTAGGATTCTCTCCTTCATTTTAATCTTGGCTAATGTAATGATGATGTGCCTTGGTGTGTTTCTTCTTGGGTCCAACTTCTTTGGGACTCTCTGAGCTTCCTGGATTTCCTGGAAGTCTATTTCCTTTGCCAGATTGGGGAAATTCTCCTTTATTATTTGTTCAAATAAGTTTTCCACTGGTGGCTGTTCCTTTCCCCCTTCTGGTACCCCTATAATTCGGATGTTGGAGCATTTAAAGATGTCCTGGAGGTTCCTAAGACTCTCCTCATTTTTTTGAATTCTTGCTTCTTGACTCTTTTCTGTTTGGCCATTATTTGCTTTCTTCTGGTCCACTCCATTGATTTGAGTCCCAGTTTCCTTTTCATTGCTATTGGTTTCCTGTGCAATTCCATTCATTTCAAGTAGTTTTGCCTTCATATGTTTCTCTAATTTGTGGCTATAATCAACCAGTTCTGTGAGGATCCTGATCACCAGTGTTTTAAACTGTGTGTCTGAGAGTTTTGCTATTTCTTGTTCGCTTAGATTTATAGGCTCTGGGGCTTTGAGATCTTCTTGAGCCATTTTTGGTCCGTTCGCGCCCGTTAAGTATGAGGAGCGGAGCCTTGGACTCCCAGGTCGCTGGGTTGTGATGCAGTATGTGGGGGTATGGTCAGAGCGGGGAAATGGCGGCCCCCTCTGTGGTTTCATGCGGCTGGGGGAGGAGCAGAGCCTTAGGTGGTTCACCAGGGCCGGGCCACTCAGAGTCGCTGGGTTATGACGCTGTATGTGGAGGCGGGGTCAGAGCAGGGAAGTGCCGGCGCCCTCTGCTGCTGCCTGCTGCCGGCCTGCTGGGTCTTGTCCAGTCGCCCACTCCCTCACCTGTCCACCCACGCACGGATGCGTGACCACAGTCAACCTGCAGCCCTGCTCCCTGGCTGTTTCCCGCGGCCGCTCCCTGGGTTGCTCAACAGGTCCAACCCTGTGCCTGGGTGCCGTGTGCCCGAGTCTGTCCGAGTTTTTCTGTGCAACCCCGTCCTGCCTGCTGCTGGTTTCGCCCCTCTTACTGGTCAGGCTGAAGAATTTGTTGTTATCAGACTTCCGAAAAGTTCAATTTTCTGTGTTCTGGCTGTGTTTTCTGTTGCTAATATTTTGTTGTCTCTAAACTTGGTTGTGTGAGAAAGCATGGTGTTTCTACCTATCCTTCCATCTTGGTGGAAGTTGTCTTTAAGTTTCTTTTGTTAGTTTTATTTTCGATCTTTCATATGAGATGTGTTTCCTTAAATATCTTTTGGTCTTCGGCTCTGTGCCTGGGTCTAGGGGTAGTGGTGGGGTACTTAAAGCTAATCAGAAGTTGTTGTGTGTGGAGGTGCTCCTTGGCTCTGGGCTTCCTGGTCAGCTGAACTTGCCGGGGTGTTACATAGGTGAACTCTTGATGTCAGTGTTTCTAGGTCTTTTCTCCTGGGTTAGTCAGATTCCCCAGAGAAGTAACTTCCTTCCATTCTCCGCCTGGAGGTCATCAAGTTGGCTGGCCTTTTGGGAACCTACATGGGGGAAAATGCTCTGTATTTGGAATAGCAGAAAGAACACACAAATTTGGTAATGTGAAGTTGAAGGTTCTTTTCATGGATAGTGAATAATGGAATGTCTTGCTTCTGTTATCTTCATTTTGCCCCAGATCTTAGTGGTTTAAAGCATTTTGTTATACAGGAATTCAGACAGGGCATAGATGGAATGGCTTGTGTCTCCTCCGTGACATCTAGGGCCTCAGCTAGGGTGACTCAGCATTTGAGGGTGACTTGATGGATAGGGCCTGGAATCATCCTTTTGCCATGTTTGTGTTTGGGGCTGGATGTGGGTTGGGTCCTCACCTGAGAATGTGGGGTAAATTTGCATGTGGCCTCTCCATGTGGCTTGGGCTTTCTCACAGCATGGTAGCATCAAAAGTCTGAACTTCCGCCATGGTCTCTTAGAGCTCCAGTGTAAGTGTTATATCGAGTGTTGTAGGAAGCTGCATTTTCCCTACTATTGCTTTGGAAGTCAAGCAGCATCATGCAGTGCTGCATTTTGTTATAAGTGAGTCCACCTAGATTCAAGAGGAGGGGACATAGACCCCACCTCATGATGCAAGGAGTGTCAAGGTTGTATTATAATAATAAGAGCATGTGAGATGAGAGATAATGGTCATGACTATCTTTAAAAATAATAGTTTCTTCAAGGAACATGAATAAAGGACCTGTGGACAAAGACAACGGGGCTGAGGAGGATTAAATGTGGAGATGGGGTGTGGGTAGGGCAGAGGAGAGTAATGGGGGATAAATGAGGACAACTGTAATTGAACAGTTAAAAAAAAGGAAAAAATAACAGCTTCTTATAAGCTGAAGTTGGGTATTAGGAGAGTTACAGGTACAGTGTGATAGTAATGAATTCAGGGTTATAGTGGAGGGACTGAGGTTGGGCAAGATTTAGGAAAGGAACCTGCCCACATGAGTTTTCTTACGAAGTGGATAGGCCAGTTGGTAGCGTCTTAACTTCCCAGTAGGAGAATCTGAGATTCAGAGAGGCTAACAAAGACTAGAGGTATAGTTAGTGATAGAGCTAGATTAAAGTGTGGGCGTTCTAACACTTAGCATAAGCTCATGTTGGGAAATTGGAATTCTTAGTTCTTTATGATTATAAAGAGGTTTGGCACAGGTAATAGGAGAAGCTTTTGGGTGATGGTAATTTCATATGTGAGGCCACAAAGGCATTTCTTTACATAAAAAACTTTATTCTTAAACTTCCAAGATACTATATAAGGTTGATAGAAGGAATGGAAGTATTGAACCCACTGCGGCCCTGTAGTTACTCTCTTGGTTTTCACTGAGAAAATATATAAGAATTTTGCCTGTTTTCAGATTCTATTAGTAGGACCAGAGGAGAGGATTGCTCTTCTGTCTGCTCTGTTAAAATACTTTACTTTCTTGTTGATCAGGAAGCCCAGAACCTCATGGCCCTGACCAATGTGGATACCCCATTAAAAGGTGGACTTAACACACCCTTGCACGAGAGTGACTTCTCAGGTGTGACTCCACAGCGGCAGGTTGTACAGACTCCAAACACAGTTCTTTCTACCCCATTCAGGTATTGTAAATAAACAAGTATTTACTGTTTTAGATAAACTTGAATCTGAAGATGTGAACATGTTTGCTTTAGTAATGTTAGCAGAATGGGAAAAGGCGATCAACTTGCCTTTTTGATTTTTCCTCACTTATAGTAGTAAATAACATAATAGTATCCAGGAAATGATTAAATACTATATGGAGCTTCCTTCTTTTTGCAGTTTCTAATGCCAACACCTTGTTTCTGAATACTTTTTATCTGATTTAAAAGAGCAAATCAGTCCATTGTTAATGATCATTTGGTGAGTTAGATAAAAACTGTAATCCTTTTTATGTATGTAATACTATTGCTTTTCCCCCCAACATATTTTCTTTATTTTAATCATTTATTTTCAGTTACAGTCGGCATACATTATTACATTAGCTTGAGGTATACACCCCAGTGATTAGACATTATATATCTTATAAGTAATCATCCTGATGCACCCATCTGACACCACACATAGTTACTAGACTGTTACTGACTGTATTCCCTGTGAGTACTTGGCATCCCCACAACTCTTCTTTAACAGCCAATTTGTCCTCTAAATCCCTGCATCTTTTTCACCCATCCCCAGCCTCCCTCCCATCTGTCAACTGTCAGAACATTACCTGTGTCTGTGATTTTTTTTCTGTTCTGCTTGTTCGTTTATTTTATTTTAATTTTTTAGGTATAATTATTGATAGATATGTGTTTATTGCTATTTTATTGTTTATATTTTTGATCCTGTTAAAGAAGACCCTTATTTCTCTATCAGCATTTCATTATGAAAATTCTTAACATTCAAAGATGTTGAAAGAATGATAAAGCAAACATCTCCACACCCACCTCTTAGATTCTGCAGTTGTTAACATTGTACTGTACTTGTTTTATCACATGTTCATTCATCATTATCAATCCACCTTATTTCAGTGCATTTCGAAGTAATTTGCAGGTATTAATTTCCCACCTAAGACTTCCTGGTGTGCACCATTAACTAGAGTTTAGAGTTGAGTATATGTTTGCAATTCTGTTGTTCTAAGTTACTGTGTTTTTATAAAGAATTTTTAAACTTACAGACATCATAGAAGCAAATCATACTTAACTGGAATTTGAACTTTTAAAGGTTGGAAATATTTGGGGTTTACTTTAATTTTGAACATCAGGATATGTCCTCCCGCTGGTTGCTTAGTGTGGGAAGCATCCATTACTACTGTATGTAACAGCAGGATTAAGAACCATTAGCAGCCATGTCCTTATATATTAACAGTTCTTGCAAGGCTTGAAAGAGAGCCTAACTCCTTTCCCTGTGCATGTGTCATCTCTCAATGACTCTGTAACTATAAGCTCCTTGGGGGCAGGGACCAAGTTTTATCCGATAATAGCTCACCCCTGGGGAACAGCTGTCTGGCTGCACCACCTGTCTGGAACATGCTCAAGATACAGGAAGTAAGCAACCAAAATAAAAAAGGCTTTGAACAATTAAAATTTAAATTGCAAAGTCTATGGACTTAATTCCTAAGAGATTCTATTAGCTGTCATTCAGAACTATTCATATTTAGATACAATTCCAAACAAAATGTGAGGAGAGGAGCTACTTACAGCGTGCACACTGATGATAATGGTGTGATAGCCAGTAGAGGCAGGGAGGATAGAAGTGAAAAGACAAGACCCTGAGCTCAGAGAACCTGGGTCTTTGTGGTAGCTCTCCTCTCTGGTCACTGGATGTTCTTAGCCACCCTAATGCATCAAGAAAAAGTTGAGATAATGTTTGATGGACCTAGTCTATGAAGGCAAGAAATGTCAAATTTAATGACTTTATTTGAAGTCATTAAAATAAAAAATACTATGTATAAATGCTAAGCTAGTTGAGCCAAACCTTTATTGATATTATTTTTTATTGAAACCTAAGGATATGCATATTGGAGAGGGAGAGAAACATAAATGTGAAAGAGAAACATTGATTGTTTTTCTCTATTCACCCCAAACTCGAAACCAAGGCGTGTGCCCTGACTGTGAATTGAACCTGTGACCTTTTGGTTTACGGGATGACGCTCCAACCAACTAAACCACACTGGCCAGGACCAAACCTTTATTTTAACCTAGAGATCTAGCCTAAAACCAGATAGGAGACAGAATTTTTGGAATCTTTATTGTTTTTCTTGTGAAATAATTCATGTGAAAAACATTTGAAAGCACAATACAAGTAAAAGCAGCACTTTTATTAGAGTTGTTGTCTTTCTAGGACTCCCTCTCATGGCTCTGAAGGTCTGACTCCCCGGAGTGGGACAACCCCCAAACCAGTTGTTACCTCCACCCCGGGCAGAACACCTCTTCGAGACAAGTTGAACATTAATCCTGAGGATGGAATGGCAGACTACAGTGATCCCTCTTACGTGAAGCAGATGGTACCGTGTCAATCCCCTTTGACTGCTCTTTAAAAAGTTGTTTTTATATCTTACGGGTGCTGAATTCAACTTCCCTTTCCCCTCCGGTCAGTTCACATTACATATATCTTAAGAATCTATATACCTATGGACATCAGAAAAGGAAAATGATTAGCAGTACTTAAGAAGGAAAACTTTTGATCTCATTATTAATATGTTTGTGGATATTGATTATGTGTATAGTAATTCTCCTATCTTTTATGATTTTAATTTTTGTCATTCACTAACATACTTTCTTGAATGATATATTTATTTACAAATTTGTTTTATTTCTGTAAAATAGTTTTGAATGCCTCAAATTAGATTGTAACCCTTAATTCCTCTGTTTGCTCTGTACTTCTTACAAGGACAATCTAGATCTCAAAGTCAAATCTTGGTTTATTGCTGATCTTAGTGAAGTTTTCCTTCATTTGTTTTGCATGATGATGCAGAAGGGAATTACAAAAAGTTGCAGTTTTGCTCTGCCCATGTTACTGCTTTTATTATATCACTATTAGGCCTTATTATCTGATGTCACAGAAAATCATTGTGAAATATTAGTTTTTTTAATGAGTTCCAGCGATGTTGACCTGTTTTCAGTTTACAAATTCTAACTTCATGTATAGATTTGGTTAGAGTTGTTTTTAATGCCAGAATTGGTATTGCCTAATGCCAACTGAAGAGCCTTGTGTATGCAGAGCACAGATCCGGATACTTCAGGGGAGTGAAAATTGAGTAAAGTGATTCTTTGTCTTAAAGAAGTTTACACTCTGGAGAAATTGGCAGTACTAAACCAAGTTAAAAAATAATTGTAAAAACAAAGTAAGCTCTTAGAGTAAAACCGACATGCTTGTAGCATGGTCAAAGAGAGAAATAACCTCTTCAGGGTGGGGGCTATGAGAGCCTTTATTGGGGAGGAGTGCTCAGAAGAAGGGTGGTGGCTGTCCCAGGTGGATGCCACAGCCCTGTAAGCATGGAGCCTGTCTTAGCAGCTCATCTGGCCCTCTCCCCCAGCATACGCATCGGTGAGACCCGGGAGGCGGGCCGAGGATATGCTGGGGAAACCTTTGGAAGCCAGGCAGTTACCTTCATGAACAATGGGCTGCTTTTTGGCCTACATATGATCTAGTCTTTCTATTAAAAATATACACATGGTAAAAAATACATATATACACACACCTGGGTGCACACACAAAAATTCAGGCATCTTTTCAGATTAGATTTTTATTAGTCCAAAAGGACAAATTGAGGAAATCCTGAAGGACATTGTTTTTTGCCCTGCAGAAGTACTTCCCAAATGAGAATATCCCTGAGTAACTTCAATGATTCCAAATTGATTCATTTTAATGTAGGGAAGAAATGGAGATAGAAATTTAAAAACTCATCTCAGCTCTGAAGTTAGGGATCCTTTTCTAGAATTAAAATTAGGCTAATTACTTTTTAGAAACCTTAATAGAATATTGGTTGCATACTTAATTTGTATGAATTGAGAAGGACCAGATTTTTTTTCTACAGGAAAGAGAATCTCGTGAACACCTCCGTTTAGGGTTGATGGGCCTTCCTGCCCCCAAGAATGACTTTGAAATTGTTCTGCCAGAAAATGCTGAGAAGGAGCTGGAAGACCGTGAAATAGATGACACATACATTGAAGATGCTGCCGATGTGGATGCACGAAAGCAGGTGGGTGATGGTGGTGGGAGGGAGGTTGAGTTTCCCGAATGTCTCGGTAGCTGAAAGGATGGGGAATGGCCATTAAATACCTCAAGATCTCCGCTTCAAAGTTTTTTTAAATACTTGAGAAAATTACCATAAAGTAAATAATCAGTATACATCATTAACAGTATATACCCACATAATTAATAACATACTCAGAATATCTTGATAGGCATTCTTAAAATGTAGATATATATGTCAATTTAAATACCCTTTGTCAAATTCATTATATTTCCTTAAAATACACACAAGTATTTTAGACAACAAGTAGTCTTTTAGCTTATCTCTCTAGGCAAGAAAAAGTGTTACTGATCAGTCTTAAAAACAAGTACATTTTGGATTGGTTGAGTAAATGGTTTTAGTTCAGTGTGAACTAATAAAAAATGTGGATCTGGAAATTTAGAGAGATTGTGTGCCAGAATAATAATAGTAATACTCTGTACTAACATAGTTAATTACTTCCTCATTTGTATAGAACAACCTGGTGATGTACACAGGATAGGTGTTAGCTTCATTTTAGGAAAGAGGAAATAGGCTAGGTGAATTAAGTTCACTTTCCCAGGTCTCATGGCTGGAAGGTGGTGAATCTTGAAGTAAAACTGAGTTTGTGTAACTGCTTTCAGGAGTTCTTCAGTCTATTTCAGGATGGTTTTAGAAGTTGGATAGTTTATGGGATTGGAGTGAGAATGGTGTCAGTGGAAGTCATATTTTAGAGGCAACCACATGAATGTGCTTCTTGGTGGGGAATATATGATAATGCTTTTTGTGTTTAGTTCTCTTAGCTGCTTGAAGATAGATGCCGGTGCATTTACTCAGAAATGGTGTGAAGTTCTAATGTGTTATCCCACATTGTTGATAATTGGAGAATCAGGAAATAGCACATTTATTGGCTGGATTTTTAAATTGAAAAAGGTAGCTTTGGGGTGAAAGAAAATGGTTGTGTGGTAGGAGGAGTAGTCCCCCTGAGTTTAGGGTTCTGACTTAGGCGAGAAAAGGACGGTTATCTGATGGACCCGGCACATAAGTTTGGAGAACGCTCCAGTAGACATTGGAAGTTCTTAGTTTCTGTTTCCCTGAGAGAGTGAATAGATTAACTTCTGTTGCCTTATATTGCCTTTCTACAAACTTACGGACATCTACAGCTGTAGTTCTTCACACATGTTCTTATAAAGTTGGAACTTTATTGAAATGTGTTAAATACCGCATAACAGCAATAATGGATATAAAAATAATTTTTTTAGGCCATGAGAGATGCAGAGCGTGTGAAGGAAATGAAACGAATGCACAAAGCTGTTCAGAAAGATCTTCCAAGACCATCAGAAGTAAGTGTTAGAATTTTTAGCTTAGAAGTTTGAAGTTTCTTTTCATGTGCTTGATATTTTTTATATCATTCATAAAATCTATAAAACAAAATTCTGTCTACTCTTTGGAATATAGGAAAACAGTTCCCAGATCCAGTCACTGGTGCAAATAAGATTTTAGAAGGGAGGGGAGGTTTCTTTTAAAAATGTATAACTGCTATTTAATTCATGCTAGAGCAAGTCATAATGTTAGTATATCGCAGCGATATGTTTGGTAATTTTACTTGTTTTACAATTTTAGGTAAATGAAACTATTCTAAGACCCTTAAATGTAGAACCACCTTTAACAGACCTACAGAAAAGTGAAGAACTAATCAAAAAAGAAATGATCACAATGCTTCATTATGACCTTCTACATCACCCTTATGAACCGTCTGGAAATAAAAAAGGAAAAACTGTAGGGTTTGCTACCAATAACTCAGAGCACATTGCCTATCTGGAACATAACCCTTATGAAAAGTTCTCTAAAGAAGACCTGAAAAAGGTATGACTGAGCAGGAATATTTCTGTCTTGAGAGTCAAGTATTTGTTTGATACTGTGTATGAGGGACAAATGTTAACTTCTTCCCCTGCATTGCTATTCATAAACAACCGACATGGTTAAGAGGTAAATGTTCATATGAAATGTTAAGAAAAGCACTTGGCACCCCTGCTCCACCATGTTCAGTGACAGACTTTCATCAGATGACACGCTGGCCCTGGTGGCAAAGGTGTCTTCGTCTTGTGGGTGTGTGCCTGACTGGCAGTTGCTACAGCTGTCGTTTTCTCTTGAACTCTGCTGTCTCTGAATAGAATTAAATGCCTTTAACACTTAAACATCACTTGTTTAGACTAACATAAAAAAACCAATATATTAAAAATGTATACATATTAAACTTTTTACTTATTCAAAGAAAGGAAATATATGTATTTTAAAAATTTTGTTTTAGATTTTTATTTATTTATCTTTAGAGAGGAAGGGAAGGAGAGAGGGAGAGAAATATCAATGTATGGTTGCCTCTCATGAATCCCCTGCTGGGACCTGGCCTGCAACCCAGGCATGTGCCCTGACTGGGAATTGAACCACGTAAAATTTTTATTTATTTATTTTTAGAGAGTGGAAGGGTGGGAGAAAGAGAGGAAGAGAAACTTTGATGTGAGAGAGAAATATCAATTGGTTGTCTCTCACATGTGCCTCAGCTTGGGACCGAACCCACAATCCAGCCCTGTGCCCTGACCCAGAATTGAATAGGCGACCTTTTGCTTTGCGAGATGATACCCAACAAACTGAGCCACATTGGTTAGGGTGAAAGGAAATGTTTTTTACTGAATTTATTTTCCTCCCATGATTTCCTCCTGTCCTTTTGGGTAAAGAAAGAAATATTTTCTTGTGTAAAGTCTGTCCTGGTTCTTCCTCTATGTGTATTTTTTATACTCTGATAGAGCGAACAGCTGAGACTGTGAACAGCATCTGTACAATGGCATAAGAAAACACAGTAGTTTCATGGTTGGAAGCAGAGTGGTTGTTAGTTGAAAAGTCTGTTTCCCTTAGTCTTTGATCCTGAAGGGCAGTGATAGACCCATTGATTGGAGTGGGCTAAATGTATAATTGGGAGAAAACAAAATGAGATTCTTTTTTCTGTCTTCTCTCCTGTACTTTTCCTTACTTTGTATTTTTCTTATGGCATAAGTGGTACATGTTTATTATAGTGTTTTTAGCAAATAGAGAAAGGGAGGAGGTCTTAGCTTTATTATTTCAACAATTTGCCCCTGATTTTGGAGTAACTTTGAGTTACTTCTTTTAAGTACATGCAGTGGGAAGTTGACATTGCCAGGAGCCTACTCTGTGGTAGCGCATTTATTCATTCAGCTGGGGTTGAGAGTTAGATTGTGAGTTTGATACTTGAACAGTTTTCTTCCTGTAGAGAATGGGGGGAAGATGACATTTAGGAAATAAAGTTTTTTAAATTTATTGTTTTGTTGCTGGTAGAGGTTCTGTAGGGGATAGATTCTAATAAAACTTTTGATAATAATTGTTGTAAGTAGTGCTTTGAATTGTTCGAAACCATTAACAAAGTGGTTTAAATATTTTTCTATATGTATAGTTCTGTTTGTTTCAGAAAGAATTTGAGGCAGCTGTTTACTTAGCAGATTTCTTTACGAAGTCTGCTGAAGGACAACTTGGCCGCGCTCTCCTAGTGGTTGTAAGGGAAGGGCTTGTAAATTTTCTACTGTGAATGGTTTCAGAGAAATACCATTTCTTCTATATCACATTTTAATTAATACGTTAAAATTGGTTCTGTTATTTCCCCTAAGAGGTATTATTTAAAAGTATCCATTCTCCATTGTCTGTAGATGTGATTTTTTCATATTTTTTGTTTAAATTTCTTATATGTTGGTCATTTCTCTTAGTTTGTATGTTTTGATCTCTTTATTTTCTGATATTACTAGAATGATGGAAAGCTTTCTGTAAAGCACCAGAAAGTGGTTCTCAGTTTTTCATGAGCTGTGAAGTGAAGGGCTGGACGAAGCTCACGTGGCATTCTCTCAGAGAGGGTGTGTCTGCTGTCGGGCTGGGTGCTCCGTGTGTTATCCCCATTTTAGAGATGAGAAACGGGCTCACAGGCGTTAGGCAGGTTCAGGCAGCGACTTAAAATGTCAACACCGTGTTGAACCTTGGCTTGTCCAACTCCCCCCACCCCCATTCTGTCATTTTAAACTTTCTTTAGCAGTGAACAGAAGCTGGTCTGTGACCCTCATGATTTGATTTGTGCCCCCCAATCTCATTCTCTAGCAATATCAGGGATATTCCTTCCGATGAGAAAAAAGTCACGTGTCAGAAAAATGCCTAGTTTCCTTTCACGACCCTATGCTTGAAGCCCTCAGTGTAGGGAGGGTGGAAGGAGGTCATCCAAGTGTTGGGGGTGTTTGGCTTGGGCGTGATCCTCCCTTGTGTGCTGACTAACGATGTGCTTTTGGACAAGGGGTTTCATCTCTCTGGGCCTTATTTTCATCACCTTTGAAATAAGGGTTCTGTTGGTTACTTTCTAAGGTGGTTGTGGTATTTGGAGATAATATAGGTAAAAAACTATTAAATTCAGTTCCTGACACAGCAGACACCTGAGAAATGATATCTACTATTATAATGTGTGGAAGCAAAGATTGGTTATATTATTGGGGATACATGGATGTTTGGCTTCTCAGACCAGTGTGAATTGACTTAGAGGCTTCATTATTTATTTTGCTTGGGTATTATTTTCCCCTTCCAAGAAACAGCTGTTCCACTGGAACTACTTGCCTTTTCCCAAAGAAGGAGGAAAAACTAGTCTTCTCAAGCTGCCTGTTGATGGCAAGTATTTCTAGTGCTCAAACTGACTGAGATTATTATTTTAAACAGGCCCAGGATGTTCTGGTACAGGAGATGGAGGTGGTGAAACAAGGTATGAGCCATGGAGAGCTCTCAAGTGAAGCTTATAACCAGGTGTGGGAAGAATGCTACAGTCAAGTTTTGTATCTGCCTGGGCAGAGCCGCTATACACGGGCCAATCTGGCAAGCAAAAAAGACAGAATTGAGTCACTGGAAAAGAGGCTTGAGGTTGGTATCTTTTTTTTTTTTAATCCTCACCCAAGGACATTTCTTTATTGCTTTTAAAGAGAGAGGAAAGAAAAGAGAGAAACACTTGCGAGACAGAGAAGCACTGGTGGGTTGCCTCTTATATGTGCCCAGACCGGGATTGTAAGCTCCCAGACTGTGGATTGAACCTGCAACCTAGGTATGTGCCCTGACCTGGAATCAAACCTGCAGCCTTTCAGAAATGGGACGATGCTCCAACCAACTGAGCCACACTGGCCAGGGCTAGTATCCTTTTAACATTCTAATTTGAATGTATTTTGAAATAATGAACCAAGTAGTAATTCCTGGAAACAACTTCAGAAAAATAGACCTAAGGTGATTGACCTTTGCAGTTCTTGAGGGAAAACTACACTGAAGTGTTTGATCCTCTTTGGCCCTCCTTCTTCATTGGACTTCCAGTTGCTGGCCTTCATGATGAAGAGCAGACTCCAGGTTGGCCACAGGTCAACAGAACCTTTTAGCTGTGGGAACAAGGAGCCAAGAAGTTAACACTAGTCACTCATAACAGTGTAGATCAGTGATAGAGTAGCTTGTTTTCTTTAAGAAGGGAATTCAGTAGTACCAACAAGCTTTTTTTCTGTAGCCAAAAGAGCACATTTACAAAACTTTGATGCCTTTTTTTGTTCACCCTCTGACTCCTGTGAGTTTATTAGAGAGAGAGCACCAAGTTGGGTTATCTAGACAGTGGCTTCCATGATTTTTCATGTCTAGGAAAATGTTGAAGTGTACTAGATGGGAGTTTCATGACATGTGGTTTCTTAATATTGTCTGCATTTTTTGAATTCCGGAATCTGTATAGGCATTTTGCCAGTGGAAAGCAAATTGTGGTTCATGGACCACTAGGCTGTCTTGTGGATTCTTAACGGTGGTCTTCAGGGATGTTTCTGAGGCCGAGCTGGAATGAGAAGAAGGGGGTTCTTCATGCAATCACATGCAGAAAATGGCCTCATTTTTCACTTATGCGATTACCAGTTTCCTCTACAGAAAGCGTATTTGAAAATACTTTAAGGGATAAAATGAAAGATGATAAAATTACTGGGGTGGTTGGGGCTGTGGGGCTAGGGAAATGAGTGGGGAAGAGGAAAAAGCAGTGTCTTTTTTTCATTCTGGAATGTAAAGTTCTTTTTAATTAAAGTATAGTTGATGTACGATGTTATATTAGATTCAGGCGCACACCATGGTGATTTGACATTTATATCCCTTACAAAGTGACCAACATGAGAAGTCTAGTAAGCGTCTCTCACCACACAAAGTTGTTACGATATTACTGACTACTCCCTGTGCCCTACTGTGCCCGTGACTGACTTATGCTGTAAGTTTGTGCCTCTTCACATTTTTGCCCATCCTTCCATGGCCCAGCCCTCTGGCCACTGTCTGTTTGTACTCTGTATGAGTCTGTCTGTTTTCTTTGTTCATTTGCTTAGTTTTTCAGATTCCACATGTAAGTGAAAGGACTCATTTCACTTAATATATTCCTTCTAGGACCATCTTTGTTCTTGCAAATGACAAGATTTCATTCTTTTCTACAGCTAAGTTATATGTATAACTCAGTTATACACATGACTGACATATGTGTGTGCGTATGTATACACACACAATGTAATATATACAGTGATATATATGTGTATGTATATATGTACACCTCATCATCTTTATCCACTCATCTATGGATGGACACTTAGGTTGCTTTCATGACCTGATTGTAAATAATGCTGCAGTGAATAAAGGGGTGTGTATATCTCTTTGAATTAGTGTTTTCGTTTTCTTTGGATAAACCCCCCAAACTGAAATTGCTGAAATGTATGGTAGTTTTTTCCTTAATTTTTTGTGGGACCTCCATACTATTTACCATAGTGTTTGTGCCAATTTACAAGCCCAACAACAGTGTACAGGGGGTTCCCTTTTCTCCGTATCCTCCCCGAAACTAGTTTCTTTTTGACAACAGCCATTCTGACGGGTGAGATGATACCTCATTGTGTTTTACTTGCAATTCATTGATGATTAGTGATATTTAGCCTCTTCATAGGTCTGCTCTCCATCTACTTGTCTTTTATAGAGAGGTGCTTACTCAGGTCTCTGCTCATTTTTAAATTTGATTTGCTTTTTTGATGCCGAGTGTAAGTTATGTAAGTTATGTATTATTTTGGAAGTCAACCCCTTATCACATACATTATTTGCAAATGTCTTCTCCTTTTCAGTAGGCTGCCTTTGCATTTTTGTTGATGGCTTTCCTTGCTGCGCAAAAGCTTTCTTGTTTAATGTAGTCCCATTTGCTTATTTTTTATTTTGTTGCCCTTGCCTGAGGAGACACACCCTCAAAAGAAAAAGCAGTATCTTTTCTTTGAAATTACTCTTTTTTTTTTTTTTTTAAGAGAAAGGGGTAGGGAGGGAGAAGGAGAGGGGGAGAAACTATCAGTTGCCTCTTGTATGCACCCCAGCCAGGGACTGAACCTGCAACCTAGGCATGTGCCCTGACCAGAAATTGAACTGCAGTTCTTTGATTTGTGGGTGATGCCCAGCCAACTCAGCCACACCATTCAGGGCAAAATTATTCTAAGTTTTTATTTTACCCTTAAGGTCACATTGTATAGGCCTATAATGGCTGATGTCTATGAGCAGCTTTTATCATTTAGTGGGAAATTAGAATTTATTTTTGAAGTAATTCTCATCTTCGTCGAAATGTTAGCAACCCAGCATTGTTGGCTACTCTAGTTGTATTACTAACTTCCAGCAGGGTGTGCTGTTGCTCTGTTTTAGTCCAAAAAGCTGGGGAAAGGAGAACATCAGTGGTTAAATTCTAAGTTATGGTTTCTGTTGTGTAGGCTTCATTTCTTATAAATGGTAGTTTAAAGTGTAATTCTGATCTAAGGTCAGCATCATAGTTGATTGGAAAGCTATTTGGAATGCTTTCTTGTAACATTTATATATAAATACTTAGGTCTCTCCCTTGGTTTGAAAATCTTCTCATTTGAGGTGGGTATATTCTTTCTGCCTCTAATGGTAAAGATATTTTGTGCTGTTTAAAATATAAAAATAAGTTTTTCCCTAAATCTCATTTACTTTGTTGCGGTACTAACTTCCATGGCAGCAAATAAATGTGTCACAAAGTGAGTGGTACTGTGAGGGATGGTGATTTTTTTTCTGCATTGAATTGGTCTTGTGAGTTTTGAAGGGAAAAGTACAGAAAGAACCACTGCTGTTCTTTTGGAGATTTATTTGGGTCATTTATGAGCAACCATCAAAAACATGTGGTTCTCTTTGTTCAGTTCAGTACCAGGAACTGGAATCTTCCGTTGAACTATTTTTGTTGAAGTATTGGTGATTTTGGAAGAATATTCACAATACAGTTTGAAGTAATTTTTATTTTCTTGACTCCTGAATATTGTTTACCCAAGTAGTTACTTTTAAAGACTATGTAATCAAATCCTTCAATTTAGTAAACTGGGCTTATTTCAAATGAAAGTTCATTAAATCTTTAAGAAAAAAGAAAAGAGACTCAAAAACCCAAATAAACAAATCCCCCATTTTACTTGTATCCATTCCTAATTCAGAACTAGGTTTGTCTTAGCTTATTTTAGTTTTTGAAGACACAATTCGACTGGTTTGAAATACATAAATATTTTATTTCAATTGTGGTAATTCTTTCATCATTTCAGTTGATTGCTAAATTATAAACATTATTCAAAGCCTGTTGTGGGGAAGGAACTCCAGTTACATAAACTAAATGCTATACTTAAATTACCCTTTCCACTCTCAGGTTCAGGGCGATGCGCCGTTCTGTGTGAGCAGGGCACACCATGGCTGCCAGTGTGTTTGGTTTTTGCTACCATGAACTTTTGGGGCAGTGCATTTAAATTACGGCCCTAGCACAGCCTATCAAATGAGATGAAATCCAGCTTTGTCGTGGTTGGTGTCTCCTAAATGGATTAAAAAAATATACCCTGAGGTTCATATCGGAGCTAGCCTAGTCTTTGAGCCATTACTCATGATTAATATTTGAAACTTAGAACTTAAATAAAAATCCTTAAGATACTCATGTAAAACTTATAGAACCATCTCAGATTTTATGTAGAATGTGGTGGGTGGTGTAGGAAGTCTGTTACATAGAATCAGAATGTAGATACAGGTCAGAAGTAAGTGGGAAAGGCTTTTGAATTATAGCTAAGTCCATGTATTTTATTCTGCTTTGGAGGCAGAGTTAATTTTAAAGATTTTACTTATTTTTAAGAGAGGGGATGGGAGAGAGAGAAACATCAGTGGGGACCCAGCTCGGGGCCTGGCCTACAACCCAGGCATGTATGTGCCCTGATTGGGAATTGAACTGGCGTTCAGTTCTCAGGCCAGCACTGAATCCGCTGAGTCTGCCAGCCAGGGCCGAATTCACTTTAGAACCTTTCCAGACATTTGTGTGTAAAATAAGGCAGCAACAGCAAATAGAAGTGACAGCTAATACCAGGAAAGGAAAAGTTAGAAAGCATAGCCTGTTGATGCTATTTAAACATGGTGGCAAAAAGCCCTGTGAATTTTAATAGCTTCTCTTAGGGCTTTTGTAGGTGTGTGGTAGGAGGGTGGAGTGATTTCTGTTTATAGAGATAGCTCAAATAAATAAGAAAAGCTTAATTTCTGTTCAGTGTCATGTTTTGTTTTGTTTTAAAGGAGGTATGGCTATAATTGGAGAAAAGTTTTCACCAAGTGGTTGAAAATGAAAGCGCTTTAGTACGTTATTTATTACATGTTCGGTGCATGTCACGGGACATCCACTGTGCGCCAGCCCCTGTTCTAGGCCCTGGGGGTGCAGCAGGGACCTGGCCGATGAGCTCTCCGCTCCCGTGGGCTTCATTTATCTGGAAAATGCTTACTGTGGAGAACCTCCTTTTCTCCCCATGCCAGATAAATGAGTCATTACCGTATTTGGGAAGTGCAAATAGAATTTGAAGTGTTCTAATTTGTTTCCACTTTAA